CCCTTGCGGCCCATGTGGCCCTCCGGGAGGGGTGGCCCCTCCCGGTGGACCCCCGGAACCCCTCCGGTGGCCCCGGTACAATACCGATAGGACCCCGAATTCTTCCGGTGTCCGTATGACAACTTCCCATATATAAAACTTCACCTCCGGACCATTCCGGAACTCCTCGTGACGTCCGGGATCTCATCCGGGACTCCGAACAACTTTCGGTAATCACATACAAGTCTTCCTAATAACCCTAGCGTCACCGAACCTTAAGTGTGTAGACCCTACGGGTTCGGGAGACATGCAGACATGACCGAGACTCTCCGGTCAATAACCAACAGCGGGATCTGGATACCCATGTTGGCTCCCACATGCTCCTCGATGATGTCATCGGATGAAGCACGATGTCGAGGATTCGATCAAACCCCATATACAATTCCCTTTGTCAATCGGTACGTTACTTGCCCGAGACTCGATCGTCGGTATCCCAATACCTTGTTCAGTCTCGTTACCGGCAAGTCACTTTACTCGTACCGTAATGCATGATCCCGTGATCAACCACTTGGTCACTTTGAGCTCATTATGATGATGCATTACCGAGTGGGCCCAGAGATACCTCTCCGTCATACGGAGTGACAAATCCCAGTCTCTATCCGTGTCAATCCAACAAACACTTTCGGAGATACCTGTAGTGCACCTTTATAATCACCCAGTTACGTTGTGACGTTTGATACACCCAAAGTACTCATACAGTATCCGGGAGTTACACGATCTCATGATCGAATGAAGAGATACTTGACATTGGAAAAGCTCTAGCAAACGAACTACACGATCTTTGTGCTATGCTTAGGATTGGGTCTTGTCCATCACATCATTCTCCTAATGATGTGATCCCGTTATCAACGACATCCAATGTCCATAGCCAGGAAACCATGACTATCTGTTGATCACAACGAGCTAGTCAATTAGAGGCTCACTAGGGACATATTGTGGTCTATGTATTCACACGTGTATCATGATTTCCGAATAATACAGTTATAGCATGAATAAAAGACTATTATCATGAACAAAGAAATATAATAATAACACTTTTATTATTGCCTCTAGGGCATATTTCCAACATCTCTGTCGTTGCCTCGTGTGGTGGGCGTGAGATCAGCTCCTCACCATCCCCACCCACCACCCAGGGAGTCCAGGAGGTTGAAGGCGGATGCATGCCTAAAGTCGTCTCTTGTGCTCGTACCGCTACACAAACTATCGGTAAACACTTTTCGTGCAACTCTTTTCCGTCTGTCCACGATGATGACGCTGACACCGTCATAGTGGCATCCTCCCATATGACAAGGAGAGGACGTCGATTCCTCTGTAGCGCTTGGCCGTCAAAGGTGCAACAAGGAAATCATGTCAGGCAAACACCCAAACTGGAGTTTGATCGGGTCGTAATGTCTACGAAAATACTGGAAATAATAGAGCAGTTGAAACCTCTGAGTGCTATGGTCTCCACCATTCTCAATCTAGAACTACTTGGCTCCACCCGTGCCCAAGACATTACGAACCGACCCAAAACCACACCAAATATTATAGAGCCTAAGTTGTATGGAAGGGATGAGCTAAAAAACAACATCATTGATGGCATCACACATGGTAAATATTGTACCAATAAACTCACCGTAGTTCCACTTGTTGGTCCAGGAGGTATTGGTAAGACAACACTCACGCAACACATATTTAGAGAATTGGAGGGTTCTTTCCAAGTTTCAGTTTGGATATGTGTATCTCTCGATTTTAATGCAGATAGGTTGGCAGAAGAGATCATGAAAAAGATACCTAAAGTGAATGATGAAAAAGATAATTCTACGAATCAAGAGGTAATTGCACAAAGATTAGAATCTAAGCGGCTTTTACTTGTTTTAGATGATGTGTGGACATACCATGGAGATGAGTGGAAAAAACTATTAGCTCCGTTAAGTCAAACGGGGGGATAAAAGGGTAATGTGGTTATAGTAACTACACGGATTCCAAAGGTAGCAAGTATGGTCACCACAATTAATTCTTCAATTGACGTGGAACGTCTAACTCATGAGCATACTATGTCTTTCTTCGAAGTATGTGTATTTGGTGAACAACAGCCATGGAAAGATCACCTGGAATTGCATGATGTTGGGAATAAAATAGTAAAAAAATTGAAGGGTTTCCCTCTTGCAGCAAAAACAGTAGGTAGATTACTAAGAAACCAGCTTACTTTGGACCACTGGACAAGAGTTGCAGAAAGTAGAGAATGGGAATTACAGACCAATGACGATGACATTATGCCAGCTCTAAAGCTTAGTTATGATTATCTCCCTTTTCATTTACAACAATGTTTTTCCTATTGTGGGTTGTTTCCAGAAGATTATGAATTTGGTAGCAAAGAGTTGGTTCACTTTTGGATAGGATTAGGCATTTTAGGATCACTTGATCAGGCCAAAAGAACTGAAGATGTTGCACTATGCTATTTAAACGACTTGGTAAATCATGGATTTTTAAGAAAGAATGAAAAAGAAAATGGTCCTCGTTATGTTATCCATGACCTACTGCATAACTTGGCGGTGACAGTTTCATCATATGAATGCCTTAGCATATATAGTTCTAACGTGCGAACCATACAAATTCCTGCATCCGTGCGTCACTTGTCCATCATTGTAGATAATACCGATGTCAAAGATATAACCACTTTTAAAGAATACAACAGTTATTTGAGTGCAATACGTAAAAGATTGAAAGTTCAGAACTTACACACTTTGGTGTTGTTTGGTGAATGCCATGGAAACTTTGCCAAAACTTTTAGGGGTTTATTTAGGGAAGCTAGAGCCTTACGCACTATTTTTCTGTCTGGTGCATCATATTCTGTGGATGATGTGTTGCTGGACTTTTCAGAACTTGTCCATCTCCGCTACCTAAGGATCAAATCAGTTCGTAATAAGGACATGTGCTTACCTAGTGCATTGTTTAGATCATATCACTTAGAGGTAATTGATATAGAAAGTTGGGGCGGCAGCTTTGGTTCAACAAGTCAAATGAGCAATCTCGTAAACTTGCGTCATTTTTTCGTGCCGAAACATAGACTTGAACTTCACTCTAGCATATGTGAGGTTGGGAAACTTAAATTCCTAGAGGAACTGAGGAGATTTGAAGTGGGAAAAGAAACCAAGGGTTTTGAACTAAGTCAACTAGGAGAACTGACAGAGCTTGGAGGATCACTTGGCATTTATAATCTCGAAAAGGTGCAGAAAAAAGATGAGGCAAATGAACTAAAACTGGTACACAGAAACCACTTGCACAAGTTAATACTGGATTGGTTTATTGATAGACCTAACAAGAATGCAGAACAAGAAGAGAATGTCATCGAAAGTCTCGTACCACACAGTAATCTGCGAGACCTATGCATTAAAGGACATGGAGGTGCTAATTGCCCATCATGGTTGGGCAGGTACCTCCATGGTTTTGGGTACCGGGCGGAATATTCGGATACCGCCCGGTTACCGCGTTTCTCGCCACCCCACGAGAAACCTACATACCGAGCGAATTCTTTTGAATTTTTTTCGAATTTTTTGAATTTAAACTCTGGTACTTAGGTTAGATACTTTAGGAACTCGGTCAAAAGAGACAGCGAGCTATGGCTTAGTGGTAAGCGTGTCCTTACTAGCTTTTCTGAGGTCTTGAGCTCGAGTCCCATTGCTGCTCGTCTTTTTAAACAATTTTTATGATAAAAAGAAAGAAGCTGTGAAAATAATTGTTGCTGTGGCTGCGGCTGCGCCAGGCTGCTGCTGGTGACAAAACTGAGTCCGGAACTAATCTATACAATATTAAAAAATTGAATTCAAATTTCGTCCGAATTTTTTCTGGGATTTCGCGGTTACCGCGGTAACCGAGAATTTCGGTGGGCAGCGAGAAAAAATGTGCACTTGGGATCCAAATCCTTGGGTACCTCTCGGTTGAAAATTTAGAATCTCTTTCCCTATGTGACGTATCTTGGAGCACACTTCCCCCTCTAGGGAAGTTGGGGTTCGTTGATGCTCCTGGTGAAGACTGGCACGGTCATGTCTCAAGCCAAAGTTTCCATATTTTGAAAAGACTAGAAATAATTAACATACCAAAACTACAAAAATGGGCTGGAAATGAACCTTGTCATTTGTTCTCTGTTCTAGAGGTGGTCATCATTATAGATTGCCCTGAACTCGTGGAATTGCCATTTTCACACCCTACTAGCCATCGAGCAAAGCACGATGAGAATATGTCCTGGTTTCCTAAACTACGGGAGCTCAAGGTTATACGCTGCCCCAAATTGGCGTCATTGCCTCCAATCCCTTGGACTCAAGCTCCGTGCTCTGCTGAGATAAGTCAAGCAGGGTGTGCTTTTGAGGAGCTAGTGTACTGGAAGAACTACAATTCGGAATTGAGTTTGAAAGTTGAGGGAAAAGATGGTCAGCATGCTGCGTTGTGGAACTTGTTGGCTTTCCATAATCTGGCTGATCTGAAAGAGATGGAGGTGGAGAAGTGCCCTCCCCTGCCACTGATTCACCTCCAAAAGCTAAAATCTCTCAAGTCCCTCACGATAACCGGTATGAGCAACTCGTTGCTGCTGTTTGAAGATGAAGGCTATAATACTGAATGCCCGCTTCCAGTTGAACAAATAAAGATCAAGGAGTGTGATGCTAATGGGAAGGAACTGACACAAATGTTATCTCATTTCCCGAAGCTCACTAAGTTGGAAGTGAGAAGTTGTGAGAAGATAACAGAGATTGGCGTGGCGGAGCTTCAGACGGAGATGACGACACCATCATCTTCAGGTAATGAAATTGAAACTGAGCATGCACAAGCTGAACAGCATCAGACAAAAGGAGAAGAGGTAGAAGATGCAGCAGCAGGAGGAGGAGGTCTGCTGCTCCTGCCTCGGCAACTACAGGAGTTGCGCATCTCTGGTTGCAGAGGGCTGCGGTTACTCTCCGATTCACTTGGCAAGGACAGCACACACGGAGGAGGGCTTCAGAGTCTTTGCTCCCTCCAATTGTTCGGCATACTTGATTGCCCCAGGTTCCTCTCGTCCTATTCGTCCTCCGCCTCATCTTGTTTCCCCTTCCCGACCTCCCTGCAACAACTCGCGCTGTGGGGCGTGGAGGGCATGGAGACGCTGGTTCCCCTCTCAAATCTCCTCTCTCTCACCGATTTAACCGTGCATAACTGTGGGGATCTAAGAGGCGACGGCTTATGGCCTCTCGTCACCCAGGGGCGCCTCACACAATTACGCATCTCTGGAACCCCAAAATTCTTCACTGGTTCTGAGCCCTCACGGCCACATGACCAAGAGATTCCTTCCTCTTCATCCAAACTAGAATTTCTCTTGACGGATGACTTGACGGGAGTCCTTACCGTGCCCATCTGCAGACTCCTCTCTTCCTCCCTCACCCAATTAATCTTTTGGGATAACAAAGAGATGGAGCGCTTCGCAGAGGAGCAAGAGGAGGCCCTTTACCTCCACGGTTCCCTCCAGAAACTTGTGTTTTCTCACTGCACGAAGCTGCAGCGTCTCCCTGCGGGGCTAACCAAACTTGCCAGCCTCAACATATTACGGATCTGGTCGTGTCCAGCCATCCAATTGCTGCCCAAGGACGGACTGCCAACTTCTCTGCAAGAATTAGAGATCAGTAACTGTCCTGCCATCAAATCTCTGCCCAAGAACGGCCTGCCAAGTTCACTACGAAAATTAGAGGTTCCTTATGGCATCAGCGAGGAGCTTAAAAGGCAGTGCCGCAAGTTAAAAGGAACCATTCCAATAATCAAAGACTACGATGACTAATCCAAGGTAACAAACAATTCCTTCTCTCTACTTGTCCCACAAATTTCCAGTGCTTTTACTAATTAACCCCGTAAGCACAAGAGTCATTCTCCTTTTGTTTACTTCACTCTAGTTATTTTTGTCTAGCAATCTGTCTGAATAACCCACTTGTTTTAATCTTTTGTACATGCAGAGGTCTTCTTGGGCTTGTATATTCTTCTAGCCTAGCCTTGTTTGTAGATCCAGTTCTCTCTCTGCCCAAGAACAGAAGGTCCCAGAATATAGAACGCATCCATTACTAAACTGGTTAGTATATGAATAACCGTCCCACTACTCCCATACATCACTTCATGCACCTGTTCGCACATTTAACCACTAGTTTGTTGTGCTTCGTCTTGTTGTTTTTGTTTACCTTGGAAGTTTTGCCTTCATGCATTGTCGCATTTTGAAGTTTTCTACTTACTGTCGAAATTAAACAGTACTCCTTGCTTGTATCCATGCCCAACTTCCACCAGTTTCCATTGCTTTTATCTGATCCCACACACGTCACAAATTTCCATTTTATCAGTTTCACTTACGGCATAATCTGAAAATAAATATGTGTTTCGATCTACCATGCAGGCCTCTGGCATGGAATTCAGGAGTTGCAAAGGTTCTTCTATCCTTGAAGAAGTTTTTGCATACACGCACAGTTTGGACGCCATGGCCTAGGGTGGTATCTCCTACATAAATATGGTATGTATATGTAAAAAGCGCAGTTTAGCCCTTGGAAATTAATCCATATTAACCCATACCCAACGAGTTATTTTGGTTTAGTTTACCCCATAATCTGAACAATGTATGCTGTCTTTTAAATCTACTTCGCAGGGATCTGTCTTGGACTTGTACATTCTTATGGACTTGGAGAACCTTCTTCTTCTTGTCACAAAAACAGAAAAAAAAAAGGAAAGGGAAAAGAGGAAAAAAATTAAAAAGAAAAGAAAAATGAAAAATGAAAAAGAAAAAAGAAAAGACAAAAGGAAAAAAAAAGAGAAAAAGGAAAAATGGGAAAAGGAAAGAAAGAAAGAAAAAAATTCAAAAAAGAGAGAGTAAAGCTCTCCATTCGTTCGCTGTTTGCACATGTTGTAGTCTTGTGACTTTATGAAAGGTGTTTGTGCTGTTGTTTTATGTTCTTTCAGTAAAAGGTTAGAAATAATTGTGTAGGTGTGTTTCCCTGATAGTTGTGTTACATATTTGGAAATCAACATGGCAGACGTATCTCCCAGCAAAAGAATATAGGAAAACAAAAAATAAATAAGGGAAAGAATATAAATCCATTATGTGAGTTTTGTGTGACATCTTTATGAAAGGTGGTTGTATGATTCTTTTTTTAGGACAAGAGAGAAATATTAACTGACTAGGATTAGTTTCCTGATAGTTGTGTCACTAATTTAGAGAGGGAGGAGTACAGGGGCAGGTCTGAAGGTATACCTCCCCCTTGTGCTGGATTAAAAATTTAGACTAGGAGAAATACAGGAGCATGTCTGAAGGTATAGCTCTGCTTTGTGATGGATTATTGAAGTGTGAACCCTGCACCCTGCACTGTGGTATAGTGGGGTTAATACAGGTATGTGCAGTTACAATTTTCAAAGCTCCAGTAAGATGCATGAATGAAAAATATATGAAATAATTGAAACTACCTTATTTTGTAGATCATTCTCCTAGGAAGAGAAGTGTTGGCCCAAGCTTTGTTTGGTTCAAGCAGACTTTTGCCACTGCAACAGCCACACGAAAATGTACTACGTGGATGCAGGGTCATTGTTCCAAGCACTTCTGTTCTGATGCCAGAATTATTCTTGATCTGTAAGGTTCACACCCGTGATTATACTTAGATATTGATTTATCAGGGATATCCTTCTCGTTGTGGTATCCTTAATAACTTGCTTTCTGTTGTTTCTCAGCTGCAGTGAACCAAACTCTTCTTCACCGTAGAGTAGTTGACTCATCAATGAGGAACTGTTGCGATGAATATCCAATTAGGCCAATCCCATTCACTTTCACACGGTATGTTGTGTGTTGTAGTCTGGTAATATTTTGTTCACTTCAATATCAGGCTGCAATGTATCTACCTAGCCAAATGGTGTGGAATACTTAAATTTTACTTGGTATATTTGTCAGCAGATGTAACATGGAAGGTACTGGCAAAGTGGCAATATGATTGGTGTTTTCTTCACAAAGGAAAATGATGTCCATCTGGCTTCAATGTCACAGTTACTCTAGAAGTCTAATTCTTCTGTGTTCTTGCAGCACACACAAAAAGGAAAAAAGAAAAAGAAAAAGGAAAAAATAAAAAAGGAAGAAAAGGAAAAAGAAAAAGAAAAAGGAAGTAAGGAAGAAAATTATAGAAGAAAACTCTCCATCGACCCACAGTTTGCACACTGGGCAGAGAAATGCAGAAGTTGAAGCGGATTGGCAACTGCCCCCTCCCTACTCCACCGACCCCAGATGGAATCACCATGCCATGGTGGAGTGAGGTCGGGAGGCGATAGTGATGAGCAATGTGACGACGGAGGGCATGTGACAAATAGCGATGATGCTGGCTACTTCTCATGGAGGACACACAGGGGCTTTGGAGGAGCATAATGGCAGCCCTAGTTTGATTGGGGCATATTCTCTCTTTTTGGATATGCCATGCTTGAAGAAGTTGCTGCCATCGCAACTTGTATCTCCTATCCTTTACTAGACTGGTCAGTATATACATAAGCTTCCCTACTCCCATATTCACAATACTGTTTAGGAATTTAATTGGTAGTTTGCTGTTCTCAGTCTAGTTGTTTTGGTTACCTGCACAATGTCCTTGTGTGTTTTGAGTTGTTCTTACTGTTAAAATTTAGCAAATACTTCCTTGTTTGTATCCATCTCCAACTCCACCAGTTTCAGTTGCTTTTTTCCTGATGCCACACTGGCGGTGGGTAGTCGTTTTTTCCTCTTACCACATAATCTTAATAATGTGTGTGTTGATGTATCATGCAGGCCTCTCCCAACTTGTAAACTCTTCAATACTTGAAGAACTCTCAGCATTCACCCACTGCGCGGGCGCCATGGCCTTGGTGGTATCTCCTCCTTGTACATAAATACAGTATGTATATGTAAGAACACACTTTTACCCTTTGTAAAATTAATACATGCTATTTTCCTTGCTTCCCCTGAACCCACACGTCAATTCATTTTGGTTTAGTTTGGAGGAACTTTTACCACATAATCTGAATTGTGCTTGTTATGTTTCAATCTACTTTGCAGGGATCTGGAGTTGTACACTATCATAGCCTGGGAGAACTCTCTCCATTCTTCTCACAGAAAAAAGGAAAAAATGTGAAAAGAAGGAAAGAAAGAAAAAGGGAAAAAAGAACAAAAAATGTGGGGAAAAAGAAAGAAAGAGAAAGGGAAAATGTGAAAAAAAGAAAGAAAGAAAAGAAAAAAAATGTGAAAAAAGAACAAAAGATGTGAGAAAAAAAGAAAGAAAAGGGAGGGAATGTGAAGTAAAAAAGAAGAGGAAAACCTTCATTCATTCACCATTCGAACATGTGGTGTATCAAAGGTGGTTGTGCAGTTGTTTCAGGTTATTTCAGAAAAAAGTAGAAATATTAATAGCGTAGGATTGTTCTCCCAGTAGGTGTGATACAAATTTGGAAATCAAGATGGCACTAGTAGCTCCCATCAAAATAAAGGAGGCAAAAAGAAAAAATGATTAAGGAAAAATCTTCGTCCATTATGTGGGTTTTGTGTGGTATCTATACAAAAGGTGGTTGCATAATTTTTGTATGTTCTTTCAAGAAAATCTAGAGAGTATTGATGAACTAGGATTGGTTGCATGAGATAGTCGTGTCACAAATTTAGACAGGGAGGGAATACAGGAGCAAGTCTCAAGGTCTAGCTCCCATTTGTGTTGGATCAGTGAAGTGTGCGCTTTGCGGCATGTTAAATTGGAGTTGGAGTTAAGAAAGGTATGTGCTAGTTACAAATTGGAAAAACCCATTCAGATGCATGACTGAAAATTTATTAGTGATTCACACTACCTTATTTTGTAGATCAATCTCCTTGGATTGTCTGGTGGATGGAGTTTCATTTATTCTAGGATTACTCTTGAACTGCAAGGTGCACACCCGTGATTACACTGAGATGTTAGTTTATCTTGCAAATCCTTTTTGACATTCTTAATGACCTGATTTCTATTTGTCCTCGACTGCAGTGAGCAAAACCTATATTCAGCTTAGACTAGTTAAGTCATTGACCAGGAATTGCTGCGATGAATATGCAATCAGGCCAATCCCTTTCACACTCATATGGTGGGTGATGTACTCTAGTCTGATATAATATTGTTTTTATTTTGGCAGCATACTGCAACAAGAATTTACCCTAGAGAAATGGTGAGAAGTACTTACAATTTCTCTTCTTATGTCGGCAGATGTAACATGGAAGGTACAGGAAATGGTGGGCATTTTCTTTGCAAAAGGAAAATGCTGCTCATCTGGTTTGCCTGACGTCTTCAGTGTTCGCAGTTACTCCGGAAATCCTATTATGCGGCACTCTCGCAGCAGACATAAAGACGGGGACAAAAAAAGATAAAAGGAAACAAAAAGGAACAAAAGTTATATTTGAAATACTCTTCATCTGGTCACATTTATTTAAGTGGGAGGAGTGCGGGACGAAGAGGATAGTCACTGTCCTCCCTCCACCAAATCCCCAAGAGGTTCATCATGTCATAGCGGCATATTGGGAGGTCGGGAGGTGGCAGTGGTGTGCGATATGGGTGGCGGCGAAGTGCATGGGAGGGGTAGCGACGATGCTGGCCGCTCTGGTGGAGGACTGGACAGGGGTGGTAGTGAAAGAGCATAATGACATCCCGATAGGATCAAAGTCCTATTGTATTCACTGTGTGATCTCTCATCCTTTTGAAGAACCTGCATCCAGTGACATGGGCTTTCAGATACCCTTCCTCGAGCCACTGCTGGATCAAATGGGCTTTGGTCAGTTCATCCGGG